AGGTCAAGGATAAAGAAAAGATCCTAAAAGCAGCAAGAAAACAGAAACAAGTAATGTAAAATAGAGATCTAATACATCTGGCAGCAAACTTTACAGTAGAAACCTTACAGGCCAGGAGAGAGAGAGATGACACATTTAAAGTGCTAAAGGAAAAAAAAAAAGTACTAAAGGAAAACAACTTTTACTCTAGAATGGTATATCTGGCAAAAATATCCTTTAAGCATGAAGGAGAAATAAAGATCTCCAAAGATAAACAAAAGCTGAGGGATTTCATCAAGAGCAGACCTTTCCTACAGGAAATGCTAAAGGGAGTTCTTCATTCTGAAAGAAAAGGATGTTATGTTAATAAACAATAAGAAATCATCTAAACGTAGAAAACTCACTGGTAATAGTAAGCACAGAGAAAAACATAGAATAGCATACATTGTTATCATAGTGTGTAAACTTCTCTTGACTGAAGTAGAAAGACTAAACAGCAAAGCAGTAAATCATAACTACAACTTTTCAAGACATAGACAGTATAATAAAAGATAAAGAGAAAAAAAGTTAAAAAGCAAGCGGACAAAGTTAAAGTATCAAGTTTTCATATTCTTTTTCATGTTTTGCAAATCAGTGTTAAGTTGTTACCAGTTCAAAATAATAAGTTATAATATTTGCAAGCTTTATGGTAACCACAAATCAAAAAACATATAATGGATACACAAAAAATAAAAAGCAAGAAATTGAAGCGTACTGCAAGAGCAAATCATCTTCACTAAAAGGAAGACAGCAAGGAAGGAAAAAATAAAGAGAAGACCATCAGTCTACCAGAAAACAAATAATAAAATTGCAGGTGTAAATCCCTAATTATCAATAACAACATTGAATGTAAATGGACTAAACTCTCCAATGAAAAGACATAGAGTGGCTGAATGGATTAAAAAGAAAAACAAGATCCAGTGATCTGTTGCCTACAAGAAGCACACTTTACAATAAGCTATAAAGATACACACAAACTGAAAATAAATGGATGGAAAAAGGTATTTTATGCCAATAGAAACCAAAAAATGAGCAGTAAGCTATACTTAGACAAAACAGATTTAAAGGCAAAAGCTGTAATAAAAGACAAAGCAGGTTATTACGTAAAGATAAAGGGGTTAGTTTAGTAGGAGAATGTAATGATTCTTCCACGGTTTTACTGTGGCCCATTGTATGAAGTTTGGTAGTTACCCAAGAGACATTCCCCCACCTCCCTCTGTGCCAGAGCTGTCTTTTCTGTGTTTTACTGTCTGCTCTTTCTGACTGCTTATAGTTAGAAGTGATTTCCTTGAAATGCATGAGGCTAGAAAGGGAGCTGGAACTTAAAGTGGCAGTGTTTGTGCAAGATGACGGTGCTTCTGCTCTGTCAGACATAATAAAAGCCATACATGACAGATGCACAGCTAGTATCACACTGCATGAGAAAAAACTGAAAGCCTTTCTTTTTAAACCCGGAACAAGATAAGGATGCTCACTTTCCCCATTGTTATTCAACATAGTGTTGGAAGTCCTAGCTAGAGGAGTCATATAAGAGAAAGAAATAAAGGGCATCCAAATTGGAAAGGAAGAAGTCAAATTATCTTTGTTTACAGATAATGTGATCTTATACTTGGAAAAAACTAAAATTTCCACCAAAAAGTTATTAGAACTGATAAATAAATTCAGGAAAGTTGCAGGATACACAATCAACATACCAAAATCAGTAGCATTTCTATATGCCAACAGTGAACAATCTGAAAAATAAATTTAAAAGGCAATCCCTTTTACAATAGCCACAGATAAAAATAAATGGAATTTACCTTACCAAAGAAGTGAAAGATCTGTACAATGAAAACTATAAAACATGAAGGAAATTTGAGAGGACACCAAAAAATGGAAATATATTTCATGTTCATAGATTAGAAGAGTCAATATTATAAAAAATATCCATATTACTCAATGCAATGTGCAAATTTAATGGAATCCCTATAAAAATACCAATGACATTCCTCACAGAAATAGGAAAAACAATTCTGAAACTTATATTCAGTCACAAAAGATCCAGAATAGCCAAAGCTATTGATATGGTTTGTCTCTATGTTCCCACCCAAATCTCACCTTGGATTATGGTAATCCCCACTTGTCAAAGGTGGGACCAGGTGGCGATAATAGGGGATCCAGGGTAAACTCGCACATCTACAGTAAGCTCATTTTCCATAATGGTACCAAGCACAAGGGGAAAAAGACAGTCTCTTCCGTAAATAATGCTGGGAAAACTGGATATCCATATGCAGAAGAATGAAAGTTGATCCTTACCTCTTACCTCATACAAAAAATTAAATGGATTAAATACTTTAAGACCTCAAACTATGATGCTACTGCAAGGAAACATTGGGGAAATACTTGTTGAATAATACTCCATTAGCACAGGCAATCAAAGCAAAAATACACAAATAGGATCACATCAAGTTAAAATGCTTCTGTACAGCAAAGGAAACAATCAACAACATGAACATACAACCCACAGAATGAGAAAAAAATATTTGCAAACTACCCATCTGGCAAGGGATTAATAACCAGGGGCTCAAACACCTCTGTAGGAAACAATCTAATAACCTGATTCAAAAATGGGGAAAAGATTTGAAAAGATATTTCTCAAAAGGAAATACACAAATAGCAAAAAGGCATACGAAAAAGTGTTCAACATCACTGACCACCAGAGAAATGCAAATCAAAAGTACAATGAGATATTATTTCACCCTAGTTAAAATGACTTTTATCGAAATCTCAGGCAATAACAGTTGCTAGTGAGGATGTGGAGAAAGGAAACTCTTATTAAAATTGTCGGTAGGACTGTCAATTAGTACAACCACTAGGGAGAACTGTCTGGAGGTTCCTCAAAAAAACTAAAAATAGGCTGGGCGCAGTGGCTCATGCCTGTAATCCCAGTACTTTGGGAGGCCAAGGTGGGTGGATCAGGGGGTCAGGAGTTTGAGACCAGCCCGGCCAACATGGTGAAACCCTGTCTCTACTAAAACTACAAAAATTAGCTGAGCATGGTAGTGCTCACCTGTAATCCCAGCTACTTGGGAGCCTAGGCAGGAGAATTGCTTGAATATGGGAGGTGGAGGTTGCATTGAACCGAGATTGTGCCACTGCACTCCAGCCTGGGCAACAGAGCAAGACTCTGTCTTGGCAAAAGAATCAAACAAGCAAACTAAAAATAGAGCTACCATATGATCCAGCAATCCCACTGCTGGGTATATACCCAAAAGAAAGTATATCAGAGAGATATCTGCACTCCTATGTTTATCAGTATACCAAAGAGATATCTGCACTCCCATGTTTGTTGCAGCACTGTTCACAATAGCCAAGATTTGAAAGCAACCTAAGTGTCCATCAACAGATGAATGGGTAAACAAAATATGGTACTCATACACAATGGTGTACTATTCAGCCATAAAAATGAATGAGATCCTGTCATTTTCAACAACATGGACAGAACTGGGGGTCATTATATTAAGGTAAATAAGCCAGGCACGTAAAGACAGACATCACTTGTTCTCACTTATTTGTGGGATCTAAAAATCAAAACAATTGAATTCATGGAGATAGAGAATAGAAGGATAGTTACCAGACACTGTGAAGGATAGCTAGGTGCTGGGGGTGGGGGTTGGTGCGGGAAGTTGGGGATGTTTAATGGGTACAAAACAATAGAAAGAATGAATAAGACCTAGTATTCGGTAGCACTATAGGAGATTGCCTTATGTACACAGGAAATTCAGTTATAAATTGTATTCTAAGAGTTCTTGCGCAAAGTGGAAATGGTAAAATTATAAAAGTCTGGTATTTTAAATTGTACATTTAAAAACAAAAGAGTATAATTGGATTGTTTGTAATGTAAACAATGAGGGATGGATACCCAATTTTCCATAGATGTGATTATTATGCATTGCATTTCTGTACCAAAATAACTCATGCACTGCGTAAATATTTATACCTACTATGTCCTTACAAAAATTTAAAATAAAAATAATTACATAAGAAGTTTCTGGCTGGGCATAGTGGCTCACGCCTGTAATCCCAGCACCTTTGGGAGGCCGAGACAGGCAGATCACCTGAGGTCAGGAGTTAGAGACCAGCCTAGCCAACCTGGTGAAACCTTGTCTATACTAAACACATAAAAATTAGCTGGATGTAGTGGCACACACCTGTAGTTTTAGCTACTCAGGAGTCTGAGGCATGAAAATCACTTGAACTTGGGAGGTAGAGGTTGCAGTGAGCCGAGGTCACGCCACTGGACTCCAGTCTGGGCAACAGAATGAGACCCTGTCTCAAAAAAAAAAAAAAAAAAAAATTACATAAGAAGTTTCTATATAGTCTTTATTTAAAATAGCAAAAGCCCTTGATAAATACATCTCTGCTTCTGAATTCTGAAAAAGAAGATATATCACTTCTGCAAGATATGCTGTTTCTCTCTCTCTCTCTCTCTCTCGTCCTCCTGGCCTCAAGGAGTCCCTCTCAAAGTATTGGAATTACAGGCATGAGCCACTATGCCTGGCCAGTATTTCTTTATTATGGGAAATTGTCAAAATTACCAGAGTTGAGAAATCAAGGAATTTAGTGTTTAACTCAGTTAAATTTAAATTTGTGTTTTAACTCAATAAAACATGCAAATTTTCTCTCCCACTTCAGCATGCTTGAATCTCAACTCTACCATTACTTGCTCCCTATCCTTAAGTAAGTCAATTAATCTCTCTGAAACTTTTCTCATTTATAAAATGGAGGTAATATAATCTGCCTTGCTTGGTTCTTGTGAATATTAAATGAACATATGTTTTAAAACCAATTACTGTTGGGAGTGGAGTAAGCATTTAATAAATGCTTGCTGTTATTAATATCTAATAAATACAGATATTGAGACTAGTTGCATTTGAAATAAAGCAATATACAAGTATAATATTTGGAGGAATTATGCAATATCTGCCTTTTTTCTTTTTCAGTTTCCTGCAAATACATCAGAAATATGTTGTATTATTAGAGCATCACCAGGAACAAGAAAAGTGAAAAATAAAGGTGTTATTGCAAAGAAGAAGAAATATTCCTTTCCTAAGGATATCCCTCAAGGTACTGTAGTATGAATGCAGAACATACTTTTTGAATGATATAATTTTTTCATTATAAATGCCTTATGTACACAGGAAATTCAGTTATAAATTGTATTCCAGTAGTTCTTGCACAAAGTGGGAATGGTAAAATTACAAAAGCCTGGTCAAGGGTAGACTCAGTGGCTCATACCTCTAATCCCAGCACTTTGGATAGCTGAGGCGGGAGGATCAGTTGAACTTAGGAGTTCAAGGTTATGATGAGCTATCATCAGGTCACCCAGCCTGAGTGACAGAGAGATACCCTATCTCTTTATTTAAAAAAAATGTCTGGTCAGATTTTGGAACCAGGGTAAAATAATTTTTTTAAGACAGATATTTTATCTTTTGAAAAATTAGCTTATAACACTGATGTAAAATCTATCCAGGACACTTCCTCTTACAATTATGTGAAATTTAGTATTGTTTTGGTTTCAGTTTCAGTTGCATTGTTTTTAGAGATATGGATATGTTTTTGCATTCACTTCATATTGGTTGAGTACTTCCTCTGTGAAAGGCATTGTACTAAGAACCTTATATTTCATTTATTTCTCACTATGACTTTATAATAGATGAGATATGTACTGTTATTCCCATATTACATATAAAGACTCTGAGATTTAAAGTAGTATGCAGTTTGTTCAACATCATACTTCTTCCAAGTGGTAGAGAGGAATTCAGTCTTTTAAGCCTGCTAAACTCCCAAGTGCAGCATTTGCAGTGTTGTTGTTTTTTTTTTCAGTTTAAGAGGCTTAACATCTCCCCTCACTATGCTTCAGGCAGAATGTCTAATTACTCAGTGGCACTTTGAAATTTTTATAAGTAAACAGCCAATGAAGCAACTGAAACTTAGTTAGATATGTACAACTTGAATTCAACAAAGATGTCTACTCTTAATTCTTGTACTTATTTCCTCCACAGTGCCTGCCCTGATCATTCTCTAAGTCTATAGAGAGCTCTCCTTTTTTAACAAGTTCCTTGAATATTCAATTCAGTGCTACTCATTTGATACTTAATAATTATATTTGTCAGCATTCTCCAGAAAAACAGAATCAAAAGGAGATAGATAGAGATATATGAAGGGATTTTTAATGAGAATTGGCTAATGTGGTTATGGAGGCTGAAAAATTCCATGACGTGCCATCTGCCAGCTGTAGAACCAAGGAAGCTAGTGGCATCACTAAGTCCAAGTCCAAGGGACTTAGAACCTGGGGAGTTGCGATGAAACTCCCAGAATCCATAGGCCAGAGAACCTGGAGTTCTGATGTGCAAGGGCAAGAGAAGATGGATGTCCTTGCTCCAGAAGAGAGAGCAAATTTGCCTTTTTCATGCCTTTTCTTTTTTTTTTTTTTTTTTTTTTGAGATGGAGTCTTGATCTTTCGCTAGGCTGGAGTGCAGTGGTACGATCTCAGCTCACTGCAACCTCCGCCTCAGCCTCTCGAGTAGCTGGGACTACAGGCGCACACCACCACACCAGCTAATTTTTGTATTTTTAGTAAAGACGGGGTTTCACCATGTTGGCCGGAATGGGCTCGATCTCTTGACCTCGTGATCCGCCCTCCTCGGTATCCCAAAGTACTGAGATTACAGGCGTGAGCCACAGCGCCTGGCCTTTTCTGCCTTTTCTATTCTGGTCCTCAACCAATTGGATGGCAGATCTTCTTTGTTCAGTCCACTGATTCAAATGCCAGTCTTTTCTGGAAACATCCTCACAGACACAGATCTACTCAGAAATAATGCTTTACTGGTTTTCTGAGTATCCCTTATTCCAGCCAAATTGATATCTAAAATTGACTATCACAATAATATATTGCTACGCGACCTAATTTGCAGTGCTGACTTTTCATATTTCATATTCCATAGGTTATAAAGTTTTCAAGGAGAAAGCACGTAATTGACTTCTTTCTATCTCTATCTCTGATAACATCAGCATAGTGGTAGGGAATAGCAAGATCCTGTATTTGTCAGGATTCTACCAAGAAAAAGAGCCAATAAGATGTGGAAAATATTAAAGAGAGATTGAAAGTTATAGAGGATAGAATAAGGCCTAATGTACACTAAATACCATTCTAGAGAGAACAAAACAAGGAATCGACGTATACAGTTATGGAACTGTACAAGTCTAGCTGGGCAAGTTTGCAAACTGTACAGCAGGCTGGAAACTCTTGGGCAGGAGCCGATGAGGCAGTCTACACATAGATTTCTTCTTGTTCAGATAAACTTTTTAAGATTTGCTTTAAGGCCTTTCAACTGATTGGATGAGGCCTACCTACATTATCAGGGATAATCTCCTTCAAGTTCATATAAAGTTTATTATAGATATTAACCACATCTACAAAATACCTTTGCAGCAACACTTAGATTAGTTTGACTGAATAATTGTGTAATGTATCTTAGGCAAGTTGTCACATACAACTAACCATCACAGTGCATTCCTTATCAACTACTCATCCATTTGCATCTCCTTAAACCATATTTAATCTCCAAATAAAGGCAATAATAAAGTCATATTTTTGCCTAACATGCTACAATTGTCCTGCATAAAACTGAAAATGTGCTAACCCTCTCTCCAGAAAAGGATACAAAGTTTTGGTCAATGTTCACCCTTCTTGCTATCCTGTAATTTAAAAACTGTGATAGAAAGTTAACTATTATTAATACATTATATGATAAGGGGATAAGAGAGAGAAAAAAACAAAGATATTTGCCTGACTAATCAAGCGATCGTGGCAGGTATTTATAACTACCTTCTTCCACTACCCATGCATATTCCTTTTGCCTTCAGCAAGCACTTCCAATGGTCATGGTTCTTTACCTGCTGGGTAACACAAACCTTTATTTCTGAGCATCTGAGCCATTAGTAGTCCTTCCTGGATTGAGTTATTGTAGTTTTCCATTAGCCTTAATCACAGAGTGTGATAAAATTAACAGATACCCTAAGAGATCTCCAGACATATTCTTCCTTACCACCATTGTGGAGTAGTAGTTCAGATTCCCCTTGGTAGTCTGGATCAGTCACTCCAGCCAACACTGTAAGCAGGCTTAACTTCCAGTTTAATGGAATCAATATTCTGGTGGAGGAATTCCTCCCTTTGGAACTAAGACCTCTAAGCCAGTGGAGCATCAAATTATGAGACCAGGAAGAATAAATTTTGCTAGTGGATCACTAGGTTTAATAATGCATGGTGCCACTTTTGTTTCTACCCCTTGATTCCTGGCTACAGAGGGAAAAAAGGTACCATTTATTGGATGCTGATTCGGAGCATATATATAGCCTTCTGGAGAACTTTGCCCTAGCCTGCAAGTTATTTCCCCCAGCTGGTGCTGTAATTGCATCTTCAAAAGGCCATCCCACTATCCTATTAGGACAGCTGCTTCAGCATGGTAGGGAACATAGACCAGTGAATTCCAGGAGCAAGGACCCCGTACTGCAATTCTTTTGCTGTGAAGTGAGTTCCTTGATCAGAGGCAACGTTGTATGAAATATCATGACCATGGGTATAGCATTCCATGAGTCCATGGATGTCAATTTGGGCAGAATTTTGACATGAGGAATGAAATTTTGTATTGAATGTCTGTTCTAGTAATAACAAAATGCTACCCCTTCCATGGAAGTAGTTCAATGTAATCAACCACAAAGCTGACTGAACACCCAGACGAATAGAGCCATACTGGGGAGTCAGTGTTGTTGTCTGCTGCTGACAGGTTGGGCACTCAGCAGTGGCATCCAGGTTGGCCTTGGGTAATGGAAATCCATATTGGTGATCCTATGTATGAACTCTATTCTTGCCACCATGGACACTTTGTTCATGAGCCATGAATGAAGAGGATACTAGTTAGACTCTTTCCCCAGCTCTGTTCTGACAGAGGTGGCTGGGAGAGACTGACTGGATTCTACAGACTTGATTATCCTATATTCACTTTATTATTAAAATCCTCCTCTGCTAAGGTCACCTTTTGGTGAAATTTTATGGGATACATCTTCATTTCTCCCCCCTCATTGAAAGAGGTCTGTCCTGGCTGGGTGCAATGGCCTATGCCTATAATCCCACCACTTTGGGAGGTTGAGGTGAGTGAATTGTTTGAGCTCAAGAATTTGAGACCAGCCTGGGCAACATTGTAAAATCCTGTCTCTTCAAAAAAAATACAAAAATTAGGTGTGGTGGTGTACTCCTGCAGTTCTAGCCACTTGGGAGGCTGACGTGGGGGGATCACCTGAGCCCAGGGAGATGGAGGCAGCAGTAAGCTGTAATCACCCCACTGCACTACAGCCTAAGCAAAAGAGTGAGATCCTGTCTCAAAAAAAAAAAAGGTCTGTCCAATGCCTCCCAAATTTTTCAGCCCACTTTTGATGGATTACTGAGTGTCAACTCGATTGGATTGAAGGATGCAAAGTATTGTTCCTGGCTGTGTCTGTGAGGGTGTTGCCAAAGGAGATTAACATTTCAGTCAGTGGACTGGGAGAGGCAGATCCATCCTCAATTTGGAGGGCACCATCTCTCTAACCAGCTGCCATCGTGCCAGAATGAAAAGCAAGAAGAAGAATGGGAAAAGATTAGACTGGCTTAGCCTCCCAGCCTACATCTTTCTTCCAAGCTGGGTGCTTCCTGCCCTCTAACATCGGATTCTAAATTGTTCAGCTTTGGGACTCAGACTGGCTTCCTTGCAGATGGCCTACTGTGGGACTCTGTGTTCGTGTGAGTTAATACTCCTTAATAAACCCCTCTTTATGTATATATATCCTATTAGTTCTGTCCTTCTAGGGAACCCTGACTAATACAATGTTCTTTCCAAGTCCCTAACCCTACAACCAAATCATTGGCTACCACTCTAGAATATAGTTAAACACCTAGCTATTCTTCCTTTCAACAACCAGGTGCACTCCTCTCAGTTCTGCCCATTGGGGGACTTATCTTTACCAATTTCCTTTAGGGATGTCCCAGAAAGAATTTGTAGGTGCTCTAACTGTACACTTTTAGGCAGTGACTGCATATCATAGAGAACCATTTGTAAATCAAACATGAGTTTTCTCTTCCTCAGTCAACTGTAGAGAATTCCTCATGTTATATTAAAAGCAGGCGGTGAGAGAAAAGGTAATGTAGCAAGGGTGGGGGCCACGGACATTTGGGTCACTTCCTCATGTTACTTACTTACGACTTCAGGGCCTGCTCAAGCTCAATCTTACATAAACCATTTCCATTTGATAATGGAGTACAGCCGTTAACACCAACTTTATGACTTGGTAGGTCAGACAACACATAGTCCATGATGGGCAGTGTGTGTCACATGGTAACTTGATAGCCTTTGGTTAAGTGTTTAGTCACTACTGAAGTCTGGCAATAGGCCAAAAGCTGTTTCTCAAAAGAGTAATTTTCCACTGAGGATGGAAGGGCTTTGCTCAAATCCTAAAGGTTCACCCTGTGATTCATCTGCAGGGACCTGCCAAAGGGTCCAAACAGCATCTCTATCTGCCACTAACACTTCAAATACTGTTGGATCTGCTGGATCATTTGGCACAATTGTCAGAGTATCTCCATAGCAGCCTGAACCTATTGCAGAGCATTCTCTTGTTCTGGGCCTCCCTTCCAATCTGGCAGCTTTTTAGGTCACTCAGTGAGTGGGCTGGAGTGGCACACCCAAATGAGAAATATGTTAACTCCAAAATCCAAAAAAGCTGACTAGGCATTGTATCTCCCTTTTGGTTATAGGAGGTGCCAGAGGCAACACCTTATTCCTCACCTTAATAGGGATGTCCCTCATACTACTGGACCCCTGGAAATTACAAAGATGGAAGGCCTTTGGTGACCCACCAATTCCATTTGTAGGAATATACCCAACTGTAATATATATCTGTGTCACCAAAAATATATATACTAGAATATTAATAGCATCAATGTTCATGATAGCCTCAAGCTGGAAACTATCTAAATGCCCATTAAGTAAAATGAATAAATAAACTATGGTATATTCATTCATTAGAGTGCTATATAGCAGTGAAAATCAATAATATAAAGTTAGATGCAACTGTTACATATTGCATGCTAGGTACACAATTACAAACATAATGATGCATTTAACAAAGGGTGCCAGACAGAGTTGAGTGCATTTAATATTATTTACATATAGTATAAAACCTGGCAAAACTTAAACTATAATGAAAATCATCAGAGTGGATCACCTTGTTGGAGTGGGGGCATTACTTGGAAGGGATTACAAGGGGGAATTCTAGGATGCTGGTAATGTTGTGTTTCATTATCTTAGTGCTGTTTACACAGGTATGTTCTGTTTGTGAAAACCTATCAAGCTGTACATATATGTATTTGTTATGCATCTATGTACTTTGTTATACTTTAAGAAAAAGTTGGCCAGACATGGTGGCTCATGCCTGTAATCCCAGCACTTTGGGAGACCAAGGCAGGTGGATCACCTGAGGTCAGGAGTTCAAGACCAGCGTGGCCAACATGGTGAAACCCCCTCTCTACTAAAAGTACAAAAATTAGCTGGGCGTGTGGCGGGTGCCTATAATTCCAGCTACTTGGGAGGCTGAGGCGGGAGAACTGCTTGAACCTGGGAGGCAGAGGTTGCAGTGAGCCAAGATTGCATCACTGCACACCAGCCTAGGCAACAGAGTGAGACTCTGTCTCAAAAAAAAAAAAACAAAACTTTACAAATAACACCAGAAATACTCTTAATTTGATTTTTGGCCTGTCATATTAGTTTCTGATATTAGATATTGTCAAAATTCTGGGCTTAAAGTATGCAACAAATCAAAACCAAAATGTATCTGGTGGTTCTTTTGAGTGTTCAGACTGAAGACTTTTAGTTTAATTTACAGAGATAACTGCCCTCGCTTCCCCACCCCATTACTGTTGAACTAATGAACTAATGGTGCCATCTCCTGACCTCTTTCTAGGCTCTTACCATAACAGCTGCCTCCTGTTTCCCTTTCAACCTCTGGCCACTTGTCTCTTTCCTTTAGTAAAAATAGCAAAGCACCAAGCTAACTAGTGATCATGTTATTTTAAACATGCAGCAGCCTATTTTTAGTCTTGGCATTTAAAGTTTTAGCTGTTTTGGCAGTACTCTAATCAGGACTACAGGGTGAAATTCACTTTTGAATTTCAGTCTAGGATTGTGATCAGTATGCTTTTTGTTCATTAATAACTGGCATTATGCTGATTAAATAAAAAACAATGGTGAAAGTGAAACCAAAGAGATGTGATAGAGGAGGTGGTGTGGGTAAGTAGTCAGAATAGTGACAGCCAGATAAAGGAGGCTGTAGAAAACATCTAGTCTAAGGTTTCTCAATATGTGGTCCTTCTGACCACCTCCACCAAAATAACTGCAGACTTGGTAAACTATAGTCTCTACCGATGGCACAGGAACCTGCATTTTGAAAGTGATTCCAGTAAACACAAACATTTGAGAACCATTTCATTAGTCTATTTTACATGTAACAAAAATGACCTGGCCAGGTTAAGTGACTTGCCCAAGTTCACAGAGCTTATTACTTGCATAATCAGAACTAGAACAAGACACTGTAGGAACCCAAGAGAGGACACTTTTAACTTTAAGGTGTTAGAGAAGACTTCCAGTCTAATAATACTGTTTGATAAATCAGACAAAACCTGTAGCTATCCTTATATTAACATTAAAATTTTTAATTTCATTTTGAGCTCCAGAAGAGATGATAAATTATGTGTTATGAATTCATATCTCAGGCTAGTACTGTAGAATCACAGTCTTTAACTAGATGCATATGTTATCTTTAGTGAGAAGTTTGATCTTCTAGATCATAGTAGCACGCAGAAGTATCACATAGATATGTGACAAATGAAGTAGAAACATATTAATTTGAGTATCTGAAAGATGGTAGTAGAAATCACTTAGGAATAGGACATCCGGCCGGGTGCAGTTGCTCACGCCTGTAATCCCAGCACTTTGGGAGGCTGAGGTGGGCAGATCACCTGAGGCTGAGAGTTCGAGACCAGCCCGACCAACAGAGAGAAACCCCGTCTGTAGTAAAAAATACAAAATTAGCTGGATGTGGTGGCAGATGCCTGTAATCCCAGCTACTCGGGAGGCTGAGACGGGAGAATGGCTTGAACCCAGAAGGTGGAGGTTGCAGTGAGCCGAGATCACGCCATTGCATTCCATCCTGGGCAACAACAGTTAAACTCCATCTCAAAAAATAAATAAATAAATAAATAAAGAATAGGACATCAATAAGTTCAAATTCTAGCTGTCATATAAGCAAATTCCTTAGACTTTCTGAATTTTAGCCTCCTATCTGTAAAATTAGTAAAATAGTAGTTCTTACCTCAAAGAATTGTTGTGAGGACTTGAGATAATCTTTGTAAAGTGTGTGACATATAAAAATCACTCATTATACAATGATTATTATTTCTTTCTATAGGTTAGGTTAGTTTCTCACGCTTAGCTTTCTTTGTCTCCCTTTTGGAAATTGTTCTTTGGTTTTTAAGAAAATTGCAAAAAGCCTAAAATATGCTGACTGGTTAGTTATAAATTTGGTTATACCATCTCATGTAAACAATGTATCAGGTAAATGTGTATAGTCTGACACAGAACCATTGTTCTAGTGAAAATACAGAGATGAAATATGCCAGCAAGTGCCTTGGGGATAAAGAAATCAAGCTAGTTTGACATCGTGGAGGCCATTTAAGTCTTTTGTTTTAGTATCGTGGTTATAGATGGAAAAGATGAGGTTCTCTAGTTGTTTAGTTCACTCATTCAGCAAATATTTATTGAGTCTGGATGTCATATGCTAGAAATAGTTGCTGGTGATATTGAGACAAAGACATAGTTATCTTCATAAAGTTTATAGTTTTATAGAGGAAGTCAAATATATAAAACAAGTCCAATGGAGGTATATATGTGTTTTTGTTTGTTTGTTTGGGACAGAGTCTTGCTCTGTTGCCCACACTGGAGTGCAGTGGTGTGATCATAGCTCACTGCAGCCTCTACCTTCCAGGCTCCAGTGATTCTTCTCCATCTCAGCCTGCCAAGCAGCTGGTACTACAGGCAAGTGCTACTATGCCCACCTAATTTTTATATATTTTGTAGACATGGGGTTTCACCATGATGCCCAGGCTGGTCTTGTACTCTGGGGCTCAAACGATCTGCTCACCTTGGCCTCCCAGAGTGCTGGGATTACAAGCATGAACCACCACACCTGGCCCAAATTTACTTTTTATTTGCTCATTCTCACAAGAAGTATAGGGGTGATTTGAGAAGAAATTACCCTAGAAGCAAAAAGGCTAAGTGGGAGTTTTGCAAAAGCCAGTGAACAAAGTTGAAAAAATAAGTATCTGAGCTAGTGTATCTCAAAATGTGGTACTCAGACCACCAGATGAATTTATAAATGATGCACATTCCCAGGTCATTGCCTCAGGGATCTGATTTAGGATTTCTGTAGGATTTAGGAGAACCAGTCTAAACTAAAAAAATTTTATTAGTATAATTGACAGAGCTTAGTGACTAACATAGGTACTGGTGCAGAGTAGTAAGAAAGAATGGTAGTTAGAGATGACTTGTGGGTCTCTAGCATTGTAAAGTGTCAGAAATGATGCACTGTAGGTGATGATGAAGGAAAATATAGCTCATGGTCTTTGATGTGTATTTCAAGACTGAGAAGGTAAAGGGTAGGTGAGACAAGATAGTTGGGTTGGCTGATTACCCACTTGGGAAGTTACCCAGAAGTTCATGTGGAGAGGATGACTGTGAACCAGTTTCCAAAGTCTTTAATGAATGAGCAGTGTCTGAGGTCAGGAAACAGGGAGGAGCAGAGAATAGTGTAATATAGCCAGCACCTCCAAAAGTTTAATGTGCTTTTGAATTGCTTGAGGATCTTGTTAAAATGGAGACTTTGATTCAGTACATTTAGAATGGGACCGAGGATTCTACATTTCTCACAACCTTTTAGGTGATGCTGACATAACTGGTCCGTGGACCCCACTTTGAATAGCAAAGATACAGGTTTCTGGTTCTCACGTTAGCTGCACATCATACTTTCCTGTTGTCTGATATTTGGGTCCCTGATCTAATTGGTATGGAGGATGGCCTAGATATCAGGATTTTAAAATCCTAGGTAGTTTTAGATGCAACAAAATTTCAGAGCCATTGAGATAGGCTGATTAGGCCACAGGATGAGGTATATCATAGCATGAAAGTAACAATGCTAACTAGGTAAAGCTGGTTCCACTCTTGATCTCTTGGCCCAAGATGTGGGGGCAAAGGCCCCAGAATCAATCCTGTCTTTGGGACGGAACCTGGGTTCAACTGCAACAAAGGGCAGGAAAACGCAAAGGAAGGGTAGGTGAGAGAATATAAGAGGCTTCTTCCTGGGTGGCGACTGAGGACAGGGATGAAAAGCACAACTGGATCAGGTGCTCCAGGTTACAACGCTGGGGTTAAAGACCCTGTGATGGCCACTAACAGTGATTTTTCCTGGGCTTTCCACCAGAATGTTATTGAGCAGATCTCCTTGTTTCTCCAAAGAGAACATGTCCTCAGCATGCCCTAGAAGGGATGAGTCAAATATTCCTTTTTTTTCTTTCTTTTTTTTTAATGGCCTCTGGATTTGTTTCCTAAGGCTTGATAGGGTGAAACTAGAGTGGCCTGGGCATCAAGTGCTCTCTCCCTGTGGGCTGGTTATTAATAACTATTGGACAACTGCTTGTATGTGAAGTAATCTATTGTTTTGTTTTTTTCCTCCAGATATCATAATAAAAATGGCATGAAAAAACAGCTGTGGCTGAATTTTCACTACTTTGAAGATAGGAATGTGAAGTCAAAGTCTGTAAAGCAGAATGTCTGCCTGAAATTTTATGAAATTAAAAATTCTCTAGTTATTTGTGATATATCTCTGTGTTGAAATTCAGTTGAGGTTCTTGTCATTTACTTTTAATCAGTTAAGAAAAAAACATTCATATGCTTCTTAAATGTATGTATTTATATTATAAAGAACAAAATCACTAGTATTAGAAGACTGTACACTAAAATAGATGGTTTTAGCTATTCATAAGGAGGCTTCATCCCTGAGAGTTCTCAGAAAGAAAAAGAAAGCCAATGCCAGGGTACAATGTAACTTCCTTTGATGTTTTTTTTTTCTTCAAAGTTTATTGTTAGTATGATTAAAAGTAGTAAATCTTTCTCTAAAGCAATGTAGAGAAAAAAACAAACAAACAAAAAACACTAAAAGGTAGTGAAGTTACTGAAGTGCTAAAAATGAAAATGCTTATATTACGAGCTATTTTTAACAGAACTTAATTGAAACCACATGAGTTAGAGACCTAATTTCAGGTCTGACTGAAAGAAACTCTATACTCAAGGTTTGCTGAAGCAGGGAATGTATAATATGTATAATCAGTCCCATATTATTTAATATATTACCTTATCCCCAAAAAACCTTCTTTAGCTAATACTATCTGTAGGATTTTTAAAAATTTGGTAATATAACTTGCAGTATTTCAATAATGCCCTTCTTTAAAAGCAGTAATCCTGTACAGTGAACAGAGTCCAGTTGTGTAACTTGGAGAGATTTTAACTTGATTAGTCCTTGATGCTAAAGGGCTTTACTAATATATATTCCTAAGAATCAAATTTTAAAAACTTCAGGATTAAGAAAAATTATAACATCTATGAGTTAATTTATAGTTAAATACCTGTATAGTACTCATTTTTAACAAGGCATCCCTATGAAGATATCCTTGTAATGATTTGACTAGGCTTTAAGCCACTAACAAAGCTATTTGTGATTTTGTGATTTCATCTGAAGGTGAAATATGGAAAAGTTGTGAAGAAACATAGATGAGACAGTTAACAATGGAGGCTAGCATAAAATTTAGACCTGTATTCTAAATTAATACTCAACTAAGTCAGCAACTCTTGTGGTGAGTTTAAAAGAAGAAATGTGATAAGCAATGGGGAAGTAAGGAATGAAATAGAAGCCCTGTTCTCTGCCTTCAAGCAGTTTATAATTCAGGTGGGATGGGAGAGAATGAGAATGAATTATTTGCTGGTTTCTTATCAGGTGGTAGGTTCCTATGAGAAAGAATGATACTTGATTCTTAGATTGGGCCTGGTGGGGTTGGTAGAAATAAACATTTGATAGTTCCATATTGCTGATGAAGAAAATATAGGGAGCCCAGAGACGTAAGTATTTGGCCAGGGTTATGTAATTTAGGAAGTGGTGGAGCCAAGATATGAGGCAGTAACATTTGAGTATATTTTTTTCTTCTCCCCAGAAAAGGCATATTCAATTTTTTTTATTTTTATTTTTTTAAACAGGGTCTTGCTTTGTCGCCAGGCGCCAGGCTGGAGTGCGGTGGCACTATCTCAGCTCGCTTCAACCTCTGCCTCCCAGGTTCAAGCAATTCTCCTGCCTCAGCCTCCCGAGTAGCTGGGACTACAGGCATGTGCCACCATGCCCAGCTAATTTTTGTATTTTAGTAGAGACAGGGTTTCACCGTATTGGCCAGGATGGTCTCGATCTCTTAATCTCATGATCCGCCCGCCTCAGCCTCCCAAAGTGCTGGGATTACGGGCGTGAGCCACCATTGCCCGGCCAATATTTTTGTATTATAGACTGGAGTACAAGGAAAGGTGGGAGGGGGTAAGGAATTGGAATTGGTGTTGGTATTCAAGACTTAGGAGTGAGGACACAACAGCTTCAATTATGATTAAGAGCAAGGAAAGCAGAAGAAGCCTGCTGGCTGGTAACATGAGAAGTCCAAAGAAGAATCCTATTGGTAAGTCCCTGGAAAAGATTGTATGCTTAATCTTGCATCTGTTGCAGGCCTAAGAGGTCTTTCATTGAATCTCCCTGGAAGAACATGAAAAAAGGAATTCATCTCTTTCTGGGATGAGGAGCTCATAGTTTTCATCCATTTTCAACATCGACTGCTATCTAAAAAAAACCAACCCTTTTACTTCAGCATGTAACTGAACTTTATTTTTAATCATTTTAAATTATATCTTAAAATTTTATCTCATTAAAAACAAATCTCAGGTTTTTGTTCAGTTAAAAAATTCAGTTAAAAGTACATGAAAGAGCTGGGCATAGTGGCTCATGCCTATATAATCCTAGCGCTTTGGGAGGCTGAAGCAAACAGATCGCTTGAGCCCAGGAGTTTGAGACTAGGCTGGGCAACGTAGGGACACTCTGTCTCTACAAAAAAAGTACAAAAATTTGCTGGGTGTGGTGGCACGTGCCTGTAGTCTCAACTACTCAGGTGTCTGAAGTGGGAGAATTGCTTGAGCCCAGGAGGCAGAAGTTGTAGTGAGCAATGATCGTGCCACTGCACTCCTGCCTGGGTGACAGAGCGAGACTCTATCTCAGAAACAAAACAAAACAAAACAATACAAAACAAAAACCTGAAAGGTGATGTCATTTCCATTTTAAAATTTTTAACTAGAATGGTTTTTTTTTTCCACCTCTCCAAGATATCATTCATCATGGCTTGTTCAGTTATGAATACCCTCTTTATGTTATATATAGCATACGTGTTTATAGAAAGGGTATTATGCCCAAAAAGTTATCTTCAACCTCTCCTGCTCTACTCTTATTTTCTAACTTGAATTTAAAAATGTTTCATCATCTTACATGTTAAATCCTACCTTGACTCCATATGTTCTTCTAGCTAACCCATAATTCCTCATCTGTTTGCATTCACGTTTCCTAAAGAGTGTGCTTTCTACTTTCTCACAGACCCCTCACATTTTACCCTCCCTAAATACACCCAAACACACATAATTTGGCCTCAGCTTTGTTTCTCCACTGACATTGTTCCCCTTAAGGCTCCCAGCAATCTCCTCAATGCTAATCTAAGGGATATTTTTCAGTTCTCATCTTACCCAACTTCTTCTAGCTAATGATGTTGCAGACTAGTACTTTCTTCCTAAACGCCTCCAGAAAAGAATAACTTCTCTGAAACATATCCTCCAGGCTTTCATCTCATCTTAGCTCACTCTTTTCAATTTCTTCCAAAGGCTTCTCTTCCTCTGCCCAATCTTTGAGTTTTGGTGTTTCCTGGGGTTCTGTTCTGGGGCCTCTTTTCATGCAACACACTTAAATTAGGTGATGTCATCTACTCACGGCTTTAGTTACCATCTCTGTGCAGTTGACCCCATGTTTTTGTCTCTGTTATGGATATTGGTTGTGGGCATTTGTGGTGACTTTCCCTGCATCTATCCATTGCCCTTCTAACTTTACCCTACGTAGATTTTAAATTTCTAAGCCATATGGTTTAGGTGAGATTGATCCCACGATAGTTCCAGGGGTAGGCCTTTAATGGCATAAGCCAATTCACATTAGCCGTCTCAACTCTGGCACAGTAATTGGTTTGGGGATAGGTCCAAGGCCTATAATGATCTTATTGGGATTAAATATCAGAGCTTTTCTGCTTGGAATGCTGGGACACACTTTCCTTTTTCTCCTGCACTTTTATCTGAAAGGATATATCATGGAAGCTGCTGGGGGCCAGCTTATGTCCACAATTGGAGACACTACCTGGGAATAGAGTCTGTACAGAGAAATTAGAGATGGGAAGAACAAATTGAATTCTCAATACTATTGTTGCAGTCCTTGGTTAAAGCTGTGCCTGACCTGTTCATCTACATTAGATCCGGTTATGAGTGCTCATCAGTTTCATTCTTTGCTTATGTTAGTTTTGTTTGAGTTTTCTATCATGTGCAACATAGAACATCCTGACTAATGGACTCAGTCAAAATCTTTCTAGAGTTTCCCACATCATAGCATTTATCACAATGTACTATAATTGCCCATCAATTTTTTATTTTTATTTTTACTTTTTTTTGTTACAGAGCCTTGCTCTTTGTCACCCAGGCTGGAGGCACTGGCGCAACGTTGGCTCACTGCAACCTTCGCCTCCTGGGTTCAAGTGATTCTCTTGCCTCAGCCTCCTGAGTAGCGGGGGCTACAGGTGTGCCATCATGCCCGGCTAATTTTTGTATTTTTAGTACATACAATGGTTTTGTCATGTTGGCCAGGCTGGTCTTGAACTCCTGATCTCAAGTGATTCACCTGCCTCGGCCTCCCAAAGTGCTGAGATTACAGGCATGAGCCATTGCACCCAACCTGTCGATTGCTTTTTCTCCTTAGACTGTAAGGTCCTTGAATGCAGAAACTATGACTTCTTCTTTATTGTATTTCTGGATTCTAGCACGGACACATATTAAGCATATTAAATGTTTGAAAAATATTTGTTAAAATAATCTTTGTCATAGTTTTGTGCACTTATAATAGAATCCTAGATGAGGATTTCAAGCCAATTTATATGTGAAGGAAAAGTTTGATTACCTAACAGAACTTATCACAATCTGTAATACTTTTTTGTTACTTAGTTTCTTAAGGACAGGGCCTGTACCCTTCCTGTTTATATTGTATTCCTAGCACATGGAACATAGTAGATGCTTATTTTCACCATCTCTATTAGATTGTTTTGGTTGCATACAAAATTCTCTAATATCTCCCATTTTAAACAAAAGAAAACCAATTTTCCCTTTCCATCTCCTGTCTGCTCCCCATCTCAGCAAAAAAAGAGGAGTTGTCTGCGTTTCCTTTACCACTTCCTATTTGCCCCCTTTGTCTTTTGGAACCTGGCTTTTACTCACATTACTCCACTGAAACTGTTCTTGTCAAGATATCCATATTGACAAATGTAATGAACACTCAAATTTTCAGCAACATTCAACATAGTTGACTTATTTCTCTTTTTGGAGACGTTTTCTTCTCTTGTCTTACTGCTGCTCCTTCTCATTCTTCTATGTTGGATCTTTCTCCTTCAGACCTGTAAGTGTTATCCTCTTTGGGCCTTAGTTCCTAACCTTCTTTATATAC